AGTGAATACTAACAAGTGACTTTTATCTTGCTGTTCAGAACAGACAGGGTATTGTGTCCCGTACTGGGTGAGCCAGTCTGTAGTTTCATGGTTTTTTGCTCCTTAGACCAGAATATTGGCTGGTCTGTTTCAGAAGCTGTAATTATTACACATTGCGCCTCCAGGGCATGAAGGACTCAAGAAGCTTCAATGCTGGAGATTGTGGGTTCAACACTAGCAAGACGCTGGGTTCAGCTTTTGGATTTTTAGCAGCAACCAGCACTGAATCTGTACTTTTCAAAAATACAGAAATTAATCCAGTGACTGCTTCTGTGTTTTTTGTCAAACATTTAAAACAGCAACAAGGATTGCACCCTTCCCTGAGAAGGAACTTTGCCCATGAAAGACTGAGCACGTTCCGTAGAGCAGAACATTCTTTGAAAGCTCTGCGTGGAAGAAAGCACTTGCTTGAGGAACTTTAATTGATAGACACGGTGCAGCCGGGCCAGGGCTGCCAGAGTTCAAAGGCACCGCTTTTAATCCCAAACCATTTTCATTTTACTTAACTGTTATTTCTTTCTGGGTGACTACACTGCAAACTTCTACTCATCTGCTGCCAAGTGATTTTTCTTAAGGAGGTGGATACTTTACCAGATTCACAGTCAGGAGCCTCTGTCAGGAATGCCGAGGGTACGGTTTTGTGTCGGGCCCAGGAAAGTAGGTCATTCTGTTTTGTATGTGAAACAGATTCTGTCTCTGGCAACTTTGCTCCAGTTGAAAACAATAGGGCACTGGTCCATCCTTAAGTCTGGAAATGTAATGCCTCTGGCAGTACACGATCTTGGAGAGCGCAGCCCGGTGTTTTTTCATAGCTGGGATTTTGTGTTAGTGGAACAGCCACGCTGTCAACTGTTGTGAGGAGAGCCATCCAGATCACACATATGCAGCTGGAGAGGAAGTTCAGGAATAAGCGGCTCTTCTCCGTTTCCTCACAAGTACATGGATCTATACCATTGCCTTCAGACTCGCACACCATGTGCTTTTTAATGGCCCATTGGAGAGTTTAAAAACTTATAAAACGACCGGGTATCATGGAAGTGATTTCTTAAAAACAGCACACAGTGAAATGGGTTAGTTTCGTCTGGTTCATCTTCATAAAAATGAATCACAACGTATTTGATCCTTTTGACCATGCTAATAACTAACACAGATTAGTGCAGCCACTTTTTTCCTAGACATTTATTATCTTGGGGAAAAGGTGATTTATTCAGATGATTGGGACTTCCAGTTTTTCTAAGGGGTATAGAGTTGCAAGTAATTACCTGTTTTGTTCTGGCCATTCTTTATTTTTGAGGGATCAGAGTACTAGTTTTAATTGGCTTTCAAAGAGTGTTCTAGGAAAGCATATCTGGTTTATTAAATGCTGTATTGTTTAATGCACTATGGAACATGAAACAGTAACTGAAAATCAACTGGCAAATAAGCAGTCTTAAAGTGGTATAATCATGAGCGGGTCAAGAAAATTTACCACCTTGGCCCCATTAGGATGGCTGCTAGAGAAAAACAAAACATAAATAAGTGTTGGCAAAGATGTGGAGAAATTGGACCCCTTGTGCACTGTTGGTGGGCATATAAAATGGTGTGCCTGTTATGGAGAACAGCATGACAATTGTTCAAAATTAAAAACAGAATTACCATATAACTCAGCAATTGTACTTCTGGGTATATACCCAAAAGAATTGAAAGCAGGATCACGAAGAGATATTTGTACACCCATGTTCATAGCAGAAGAGTCCATCAAGAGATGAATATGTAAACAAAATGTGGTATATACATACAGCAGTCCCCTCTTATTTGCGGTTTTGCTTTCTGAGGTTTCAGTTACTGGCAGTCAATCATGTCTGAAAATATTAAGTGGAAAATTCCAGAAATAAACAATTTCTAAGTTTTAAATTGTGCACCGTTCTGAATACCGTGATGAAATCTTGCTCCATTCCTCTGTTTCTCTTGGGAAGTGAATCATCCCTTTGTCCAGGGCATTAGCTCTGTATTCTCCCTGCCCTGCCCGTGAGTCAGCAGCAGACTAGGTTATAGGATTGACTGTCCGATATCGCAGTGTTTGTGTTCAAAAAACCCTTTTTGTACTTATTGGCCCCTCAAAGCATAAGAGTAGTGATGCTGGCCATTCAGCTATGCCAAAGAGAAACTGTATGGTGCTTCCATTAAGTGAAAAGGTGAGTTTGGCACAATGAGAAGTTTTGAGAGAGAGAGAGAGAGAGAGAGACCCACATAACTTTTATTATAGTATATTGTTATAATTGTTCCATTGTATTATTAGTTACTAAGGGCCCAGTGCATGAATTTATGCACCTTGAAAGGAATTGTGGGCTGTAAGGCTGTGGTGGCGGGTCTTGGCCCATCCTCCAGGCTACAGGCCCCTGGTCCCCTACCTGTCAGCTGCCCTACTCCGATCACTGCCAGGCCCATGTGCTGACAATACTGACCTTGCTCGCACCCGCTAACAGTGCAGAGCAATTGGGGCCAGTGCCAGCAGTAAGTGCGGGTGGAGGCTGCTGCCCCAATTGCTGCTCAGGAGCAGGGAAAGGTGGAGAGCCCTCAGGGGCGATCGGGGCTGGCAGTCACTGCTCACACCTATTGATGATGCCAAGTGATCGGGGCTGACACCAGGCACTGGCAGCAGGTGCAAGCAGGGCCGGTGCTGGTAGCAGATGTGAACGCCCAGCAGGACCATAGCACACAGGAGCAAAGAATTTTCAGTAAGCACCAGAGGCTCAGCCCGATGACAGCAACAAGTACCTCGCCTTGGTCTGGTACCCCTGTTCACCTGCTCCACCATCCCACCATGGCCAATGCCCCCCAAGTTTGTGTGTGCCCCCTGGTGGTCAGCGCATGTTAGAGTGACCGGTTGTTTGGTTGTTCCGCCGTTTGGTCTATTTGCATATTAGCTTTTTATTATGTAGGATTATTTTTACTCTCTTACTGTGTCTATAAATTAAACTTTCTCTCAGGTATGAATGTGTAGGGGAAAACAGTATACATAAGGTTCAGTACTAACCATGGTTTCCAGGAGCCACTGGGGGTTTGGGGGCATATCTCCATGAATAGGGGGGATTATTATTCACCCTTTAAAAGGAAGGAAATATGGCACATGCTACACCATGGATGAACCTTGAAGGCATTACACTAAATGAAATAAAGCAGTCACAAAAGGACAATTACTTTGATTCCACTTATATGAGAGACCTAAAGTAGTCACACGCAAAGGCACAGGAGGAATAGTGATTGCCAAGCCTGGGGAAGGGGTAGGTAGGATGAGTGGTAGTTATTTAAGGGGTAAAGAGTTTCAATTATCAAGAATGAAAAAGTTCTGGAGATGGGTAACGGTGAGGATGCACCACATGTGAATAATGTACTTATGCCACTGAGCTGTACACTTAATACTTATTAAAATGGTAAATTCTGTGATATGTATTTTTTCACAATAAAATATATAAAGTATTAGATCAAGAAATTATCTTAAGAAAAAAACAAAGAAATACAGACGGGATAATAGACACACGTTGCTACCTTCAGGGGACTTATATTCTCCATCGTTTCCTGCCTGCGCTGGGAGCAATGAAGCCTGTGTGTGTGTGTGTGTGTGTGTGTGTGTGTGTGTGTGTGTGTGCATTTTAATTTGGTGCACACCCACACCTTCCATTCCCCTTGTCTGAGAAAGAATTCACTGCTCCTCGGTTCTTCCCCAACCCTCCCACCTTCCACGTCTTCACCTGCCCTGCAGGAATCAACCAGGGATGTACAGAGTCCTTTGGTTGGGAAATGCTGATTGCATGGATGTCCATATAAAATGCTCAGGTTGGCCAAAACCGGTTTGACTCGTAGATAGAGTATCGGTCTGTGGACTGAAGGGTCCCAGGTTTGATTCTGGTCAGGGGCATGTACGTTGGTTGCAGGCACATCCCCAGTGTGGGCTGTGCAGGAGGCAGCTGGTCCATGTTTCTCTCTCATCGATGTTTCTAGCTCTCTACCCCTCTCCTTTCCTCTCTGTAAAAAATCAATAAAATATATTAAAATAAATAAATAAATAAAATTAAATGCTCAGGTTGAATCTCTTAACAAGTTGTCCCCATCACCTTGGTAGAAGGACCATGAGAAGGGAAATGAAAGGCACAGGGGAGGATGGTCCAGGAGAACTCTAGGACTGTGAGCTGATTTTTGCCCCAAAAGCATGGTACCAAATAATAACAGCCACCTATATGATCAAGAGACATGTGAATCCTTACCAGGGAAAGAAATCTTACTTCAAGAGGAACCTACCCATTCTTTAGTTTGCTTTCAGGAAGTCTTAGTCGGTAAGAGCTGCCACTGGGAAAATGTGATTTTTGCCAGATTCATGATAGCCTTGGCCCAGTTTGGGTTGGTTCCCCTCCTTCCCGTTTCTATGCTAGTTATGCATAATGAGATATAACGGAATTGCTCCTTTACCCCTTGCCAATCTGAATTCCAGGATTCAGGCTGTTCAGATTTGGGGAGGAAATAGGCCATTGGACATTATACTGGCTTTGATTGCTCCATTTCTAAAATCTCTGTAGATGTGCTTTAATATTGAATGAAGATGAGAAATTTGTATTCTTTGTTTAAATATTTTTTATTGATTTCAGAGAGGGAAAGAGAGCGATAGAATCATCAATGATGAGAGAGAATCATTGATAGGCTGCCTCCTGTACCAGGGACTGAGCCCGCCAGCTGGGCATGTGCCCCACGGGGAGTCAAACTGTGACCTTCTGGTTCATAGATCGATGCTCAGAGAAATTTGTATTCTTTATGTATTCTTTATTCTATATGTTAGAGCTACAGCAACTGATATGGTTGTATCAGGACCTGCCTCTGCAGACTGAGAAGATGAGGCCCCCTATGGTCACACCCATGAAGAAATGTAGAAAGTGGTGTTGCTTTGAGAAATATCCTCGCACTAAATCTCCTTTCTCTATTCCTCCAAGCTTCCGCAGGTTCACCCGATCCAACAGTGTGACGACAGCAGTGCAGGCGGACCTGGACTTCCACGACAACCTGGAAAACTCTCTGGAGTCTATAGAGGACAGTTCGTGCCCGGGCCCCGCGGCCAGACAGTTCTCCCGGGACGCCAGCACCTCCACCGTCAGCATCCAGGGCTCAGGAAACCACTACCACGCCTGTGCGGCCGACGACGACTTCGATGCGGATTTCGACCCTTCGATCCTGCCTCCTCCGGATCCCTGGATTGACTCCATCACCGAAGACCCCATGGAGGCCGTGCAAAGGTCGGTGTGCCACCGGGATGGCCACTGGTTCCTGAAGCTTCTGCAGGCGGAGCGCGACCGCATGGAAGGCTGGTGCCAGCAGATGGAGAGGGAAGAGCGGGAGAACAGCCTGCCGGAAGACAGTAAGTACCAGCTGTGCACATCTGTACGTGGGGCCGGGCACCTGGCGTCTCTGGACCGGGTTTCCTCCCCGCAGGATGCGGTGTCCGGCTGTCAGTCTAACCTCCAGCCACGGGGCGTGTGGGAGAGTGGGGTGGGAGGTGTTGGGGGGGTGAAGGGAGGGTAGTCCAGGCACAATGGAAAGAGCGCCTCTGGTCACACCTGCCCTAGCTCCAGATCCATCACTGGTCGTTCTGCATCCTCTCCTCTGAAAACACCCCGCTCAGCGGAGGAGCGACTCCTAACGTGGTTCCTCTCCCCCAAGGTGTCAGCTGAAGGGGTAGCCGATGCTGGGGAAACCAACAGTGACTCTGATCAGTTTCAAGGTCAGAGTCACATACGTGTGCTTTGGGGGCATTTATGACCTTACAGTGTTCCTACTTTCATTAACAAGGCTGGTCATGTACAGGCCGGGAAGAGGCTCAGACTTACTGGCATTCTTAAGCCTGCTTCGCGTGCACATTCTCGCTTCCGTTGCAGGGAGGCAAACTTTCAGCAGCTAAGTTAACATGAACTCCAATTTAATGGCCCAAATGAAGTGGTAAAATAAAATATGATGACTAAATAAAATCATGGAGACCTGGCACACCTTTCTTTGCAAGCGTGGCCTTTTAGCAACCACGATGCCTAATGGAAATTGACAAAGAAAAAAATGGCTTTAAAATACAATGATTTCGAGACATATTTTGCACATTTTCAACAATTCTGAAATTTGATTGTTTACAATCACTGTGTATTTACTTATTTTCCTCCAAAAAACTATTATTCAATGAATGGTGGATCTTCCAGCTGACAAATCAAAGACATTTAATGGTAGGCTGCCTTCTTTTTGCGTGGGAACCAGCTAGGAGAGTATTGTCCTAGTGTGGCTTTTAGGCCTATTTTAAAAATCGGTGTTTAACTTCTTATTATGAAATTTTTATAACGTGCACAGAAATAGAAAATTTAATGTAATGAACCTTCATCTGCCATTGTGAAGTTTAACACTTGGCCGGTCTTATCTTCTTACTTCCCCCCACTTATTGTTATTTTTGCCAGATTCTCTTAAAAAAAAAAATCTAAGGCATCATGTCACTTCACTATGTATCTCACACTGACAAGGACTTTTCTCTCTCTCATATAACCACCATGCATTATCATCCCTAACAAAAATAATAGTAATTTCTTAATCATTAGACTGAGAGCCTACTGTAAGTCATGTTAAAAAGACTTACTAAATAAGCCACGCTCACTGTGCCAAGGAGCACTAAGTTTTCCATTAAGGAAGTAGTTTTCAAAGAAAACTAAGTCTGGGAAATTACAGTAGTTTGTGGGGTTTCCTTTCTGTGTCCACTTTCTTTTTTTTTAAAGATATTTTATTGACTTTTTACAGAGAGGAAGAGAGAGAGATAGAGAGTTAGAAACATCGATGAGAGAGAATCATGGATCAGCTGCCTCTTGCAAACCTCCTACTGGGGATGAGCCCACAACCAAGGTACATGCCCTTGACTGGAATTGAACCTGAGACCTTTCATTCTGCAGGCCGACGCTTTATCCACTGAGCCAAACCGGTTTCAGCTCTGTGTCCACTTTCTTGCTCACATCTTTTCTCTCTGCTCCTGTCTCCTGCCTAGACCCTCCCAACCAGATGACTAGCTTATTGTTACCTTTATGAGCAGGTTAAAAAAAAAAATCCATAAATGGGTTTCTAAACATTCTTTATATTCTTTCATATTATGAGTACAAACAATTTAGCAGTGGAAAAAGTAATCTCCTTGACACTTGCCCCGAAGAGTCGGTGCCACTGGGGGCTCACCTGGGTGTTGATCCACAAGCAGAATTAGCTTTTTGCCTTCATCACAGATGTATGAGGCACCACCAGGAGCCGTGGGTGGGGAGAGGCTTCAGTAAGAAAGTCTTCGCAGTTGCTTCTTGGTTTCTTTCCCCTTGTGGGCATACCCAAAGTGTCCTAGATTTTCTAGGAAACATCAGTGTCTCAGGAGCTATGGCCTTTGAGTGCTGCTCAACAGAACAAGCTCTCCTTCGGATTTCAATCCATTCAATTCACTCGTTTGGGACTCATTCTACCTTCCTGGTTGGCTTTCAATGGGATCCAGGTTACCTGTGCATCTGATGTTTTCTTTTAACCTGAGACTAGATCTACTTCTCTCAACCCAGCTTCATAATAATGCCTTGTATAGACATTGTATAAATATTTTGGGAAAATCTTCCTTTAGACTAAAAGAGCCATGAAAACTATATGTGGTTGTATCATAACTATGTATTTCTGACAGTCATGTCAGAAAACCAGGTTCTCATCTTGCGTTCGGGACCAAAAAAAAAACATAGTTGTATTTTGAAATGTACATGACTGGTAAAGTCCCAAAACAATAAACACAAAGGGACTACTCAAACATGAGCTGTTCTAAAACTTTATATCAGATATTATTTAAAACATTGATTTAAAAAAAAGATTTTGTATTGATTTTTAGAGAAAGAGGAAAGGAAGGGAGAGAGAGAGAGAAAAACATAGATGTGAGAGTGAAACATTGACCAAGCTGCCAACCTCCATACACTCCCAAGTGGGGATCAAGCCCAAATCCTGTGCATATGCCCTGACCCGGAATGGAACCAGCAACCTTTTGATGCATGAGATGATACTCAACCAACTGAGCCACACAGCCAAGGCAAAACACTGGTTTAGAATTAAGAATTATAAATCTACTCCATATGAAGTGATTTTCATTATGATAGTATTCGTTATAACACAATTTGTCCTAAAGAATGATAATTTGCTGTTTTTGTACCTGAAGGTGCCACCATCCCACCATTAATAAACTGTACTTTTTGAGGGTGTTTTCTTCAGAATACTGGCTCGTTTTTTCAAGTCTACCTCTTTATTTTATGAGGTTGCTGCCTGGGGTTGGTACTAGGGTCATGATTGCAGAATGAGCGAAAATAATTAGGAATGGGAATATTTTTGGTGCTTTATTTTAAAGTACTCAACTGAATAAATTGGCCTTAGATGACAAGTATGTAATGAACCCTTCTTCACTGGAGACTTGGCCTCTCTTTGTAGTTTGAAATGTATTTTCATATCAGAACCTCCTTTTCGAGTTAGAAAAAAAATATACAGCCGAAACCGGTTTGGCTCAGTGGTAGAGCGTCGGTCTGCGGACTGAAGGGTCCCAGGTTCGATTCTGGCCAAGGGCATGTACATTGGTTGCGGGCACATCCCCAGTTGGGGGTGTGCAGGAGGCAGCTAGTCGATGTTTCTCTCTCACCGACATTTCTAGCTCTCTATCTCTCTCCCTTCCTCTCTGTAAAAAATCAATAAAATATATATATTTTTAAAATATATATATATATACACACAACACCCACAAATATAACAGGAGGGACAGTGAAGGACTTCTGGTGAGGTCCCAGAGGACTGCCTACTTAGCTCCTACCACCCCCAGACCGAGGAGCCTAAAACATGCCAGTCTCCTCTCCCCAAAATTCTAGGATTACTGGAATACAGTTTGAAAGTCAATGGACTATCCTGAAAGGTTCAAATTATTACTTTTTTAAATATAATTTTATATTTTTAAATCAAACTACTAACACTAAGTTTAGAGGTAAATGCCCTTTACATGTGCTTTTTTAAATGTACAAAACTAATCCAAATTAGTAATACCTATTTGTATAAGCCCAACTAGTTTACAATATATGGCTCTTCCTTCAAGTCTCAGCTTGGGCCTCACCTGGGAGTCTATGGACTGTCTCCCCTCAGGCTGGGCTGGCTGTATTTCACTCATGCTTCTGTAATAGCCTGCATTTCCAACATAATTTTATGATAATCTGTATCGCTCTCCTCCACTGGAAAGTGAGCTCTCTGAGGACAGAAATGATTACTGTTCCATCATCTTCATATTTGCTAGCACATAGCAGAGGATCCGTCAATGTGTATTTGAGTCCTTGACATACTTTGAAATTTTTGTTTTACAAATGTATTTTATCTAACAAAACATTTCTTTCTAAGTAACTAAAAAATAGTACGTAACTAGCAGTTATTTTTGTCAAAAGATGGGAGGGGTGTAACCTGGTGAGGTGATGAGCCTTTCTCAGCAGAGTAAGGTTTTGCAGGGAGAGAAGCATTTGCCGCAGAAACGGAGATGGGGTGGTTGTGTGGGTAGGCTGGATGGTCTAGATGAGCCCTGTGTTTCCCTTCCAGCTCTTGGGATGCGATTCTGTTCTGCCAGCACTTGAAGGCTTTTTCTTTCTTTTGTGCTCTGGCAGGTACAAAACCGGAGCTCCCATCTACTAGCATTCCAGGTTTCTAAATAGTGGGGAGGCAAACTCATATGCTCAGGTCAAAGAGATGACAATTTTAAGTGAGGCAGATCCCAGGGAGGACATGACCAGAAAGACTATTCATCTTGTCCTTACAATACCCCCGCAGAGGGCTAGAGACTTTAACAGGTGTTGTCTTATTTGCCCTCCAAACAGCTCTCTGGCAGTGTCTTGTCCAAGGTCACAGAACACAGAAGTGTCTGATGGAACAGATACAACATGAATAACAGTTGACAAGATAATAATACTTTGTTGCTTGGTGCTGTCCTCTAAAGCTCTCTCTACATATCTCTTCCTGGTGTCTTGGCAACCACAATTCTGTTCTGATAACTGGGCCTGCAGTTGTACAGGGCCTTTGTCTTACTGATTTTCTAATGTAACTTTTTTTTCCTCCCCCCCAAAAAAGGAGTGGTAAAGAAGAGGGGTCAATTCTGTTTGACAGGCATAGCCAATTTCTAAGTAACCAGCTTGAAAAAATAATTTGTGTACAGGCAGAAAAATAGCTTGGGCTCCTGGGCCAACCACAGCTGTATCTATCTCCTGGTCAAGCCACCTTTGTGTTCTTTGGGTCCGATACAAGAAGGTCCTCTCCCAGGGCACAGGAAGGTGGCTCCTTCACAGGTCCCTCCCGTGAGAGCTAGTCTTCAAA